AAGCGTAAGGAGGAACGCCATAATACACAGTCATCTGTAGACGTTGGTAACAGTGATTGTGGTGATGGTGGTGGTGCTTCCATTGGGCGACAACGTGAACGACAGTCATACGAACGTTCTGAGAATGGAAAATCTACTAACGGCAGTAGTAATTATTCTCACAATTTAGGTTCCACTACTACATCAAGTAATAAATATAAGGGTACAACAGCATTAGCATCGAGCGGAAAGTCCCTAGGCACTGCCTCAGCATCTGCTGTTGAACAGTGTAAAAGTAAAAAATCTGATAGTATCCAAACAGAAATACGCACAGACGACTTTGTGGTAAGGTTATTATTATCAATTTCCCTACATGTTTTTTTGTATAAAAAATTACAAGTTACAAAAAAAAAAGAAGAAAATCTTCAAAAGCTTTTTTTTCACGCAACGCTCTGTACACACATTGTACTTGGGGGCGTTTTCGAACTAATTAGAATGAGAAAAAAGCGGGGGAATCATGTCGTAGTCGCTGACAAAAGTAACATTGCCGGTTATGGAAAAAAACGGGTTGTAAGATTTCCAAAAACCAGGTTTTAAAACCTGTCTGTTTCTTTGAATAAAATTCCTTTTAAGTAACTAGTTCTTTTACCTATTTTTGAAAAATGCATAAAGTAGAGAAATATTTTGGCAGCGTTTGATTACGAAATGATTCCTTTAAAAATGTAGTAAAAAATATATAATATCAATTAAAATTATTATATTTAACCAATATAGTAATTTTAAGTGGAGAATATTTATCATCATAAATTATATAAAGTTTTATACTTTCGGACTGTATGATTGATTGATTGCCAAAATTATTGTATAAAATTGTAAAACGTTTGTTAAAATAACTATGCAGTTTTTGATTTAAGATCATTGTTTATATTTACAAAACTAACTTTTAAAGTAACAAAACAGCACATATGCTTTTGCAATATTTTTTAATTATACTTAATTAAAACTAATATGTGCTGTTTAATGCTGTTATATAATGCTAAGCGTTACTTAAACTAATATTAAGAGTTGCCAATTTATTAAGTAAGAGCTATAAAAATTTATTTTAAAAATTTTTCTGAAATATCCTCATCTTGAAAACATATCTATTGAAAAAGATGCGTAAATTTATTGTATTTAAAAAAGTTATACATATACCTTTATATCTTTTATACCAATATGATATCTACAGAGGTCCTTCTTTAACACTAACCTCTTACCCATTTATTATGTATCAGTCTCCTCTCAAAAACTTCAGTTTATATTTTTTCTATGCTGTCCAGTTTATTTTAATAGAAATCCGTAAATTATTTAAATTGTTGATTAATTTTAATATATTTAAGCCATTTGGAGAATGATTTTTAAGAATAAGTTGGCATCTCTTGTTTTTTTTTTTCGCTTTTATTTAAAATTCGCTACGTGAAAACCATTAAAATGTACTAACATCGTTTTTTTCTTTCATAGCTTGTTGTTAAAAAATCTGAACCAGAAATTATACTTAATGGACGCGCAGCGATTTGTGCTGGTCGCAACGACATGTCAGACGAAGATGGACCGGATGCAGATGAAGATGAGCGTGAGGGAAAACATCGTTTTTCAAAGCCCGAACACCTAAAACAAATGTTAGAAAGTGGTTCTATACCCGATGCCGCAATGATACACGCTGCACGCAAACGTCGACAGAAAGCGCGAGAACAAGGTAAGTTAAGTTCCGATTAAAAAAAAATGATACTTGAATTTTTTACTAATAAATAAATGTTTATGCACACGCAGGCGATTTTATACCAGTCGAGGAGCCAAAAGAGCCAGTGAAGAAAGGCAGCCGGCTAGCACGTGAAGATGTGGAGGGTGATAATTCTGATGACGAAGAGCGTATGGACATGACAGTTGCGACTGCCAAAAAGGAACGTGAAGAGCGACGTGAACAATTTTACGCCGTGGAAAACAACGATTGTATGTAGCGCTGCGCAATGATAAAAAAAAAACAGTTAAAAGCCAACGCACTTTTTTCTCATTCTATTCATTGTGGTTTTTTACACACAAAAAGAAAAAAATGAAATATATGCTCGAAACAACAATTTACGGAAGTCCAAAATTTTCTACTTCTACTCCTAGATTCTGATGAAGATTCCGATCGCGAAATGCATGAGTGGGAGAATCAACAAATACGTAAAGGTGTAACCGGCGCCCAATTGGTGAGTGCACAACATGATGCGGTGCTCTCACGATTTATGATAAAGCCTGCAGCTACCAATGCATTAGAATATATGCCAGAACAACAATCGACTTCGACGCTGTTGGAACAAGCCTATGCTAAGAGTGCTCTGCAGAAACCCCAACAAATATTGAGCGGGTCAACGAAGCCGAAAAAGGAAAAGGTTAAAGCCGCTTCTATGCGCACTCCGAAGGAGATACAAGATGCAATACGTACACGGTAACTTATTAGTATAAACCAACGTACTAGAGCAAACTGGCTAAGGCTTTTCATTATTACATTACAGTTTGACGAAATTACAAGAGGTTAACCAAAAACACATGAGTGATATTGAACGTATAGTAAATGATTTGAAGATATTGAAGTTAGAGGAATTAGATTGTACACAGAAAGCGCCAACAGCGGCAGCTAAATACCGTTTTTATCAAGAACTTAAATGCTATGCTGCCGATTTGGTGGATTGTCTGACGGAAAAGGTGTGTAAACTAAGATTTATTTACATTTATAAAACAATATGCAATATTAATATTTTATTTAACCTGCACTATAGACACCAACCATCAATGAATTGGAGAAACGCACTTTGCTGGTATATTCAAAACATCAAAACTTTCTTATTGAGCGTCGCCGTCAAGATGTGCGCGATCAGGCCAAGGAAATGGCAGAGGCTTCAAGTATATGTGAAAAGTGCTTTAAAGTTTTTGTTGTATTACAATTGTTAATTGTTTTTCAGAACCTGCTGGCTCGCGGCGTGCACCCGAATCGGAGGAGCAAATTAGACGTGCCGCGGAGCGCGAAGGCAGACGTACGCGTCGTCGTTGTGAACGTGAAAAAAATGAACTGCTAACATCACATTTAGATGGCATGTCTAGTGATGATGAGACATCGGATCGCTATCAGGAGCAATTGAAAACTAACTTAGGTAGTTTTAAAGCTTTTGATATTAAATATATATTTATATAATTATCATTTTGTTTATTTAAAATAGAGCAAATACAAAACGAATCAGAGGCAATATTTAACGATGTAAATGATGACTTTTATAAAGTCGAATTGATATTAATGAAATTTTATGCTTGGCGCAAAACTGACATTGAATCTTACAAAGATGCTTTTGTTAGTCTATGTCTGCCTAAGGTGAGTTGTTAAGCATTTGTAGAAATTCATTTAATCTTATATTTGGTTTTTAACACGCTAGGTTCTCGGTCCTATTGTGCGTTTGGAAATGCTCTCCTGGTCACCACTGCTCGATGAATATAAAGATATTGAGAAAATGAACTGGTATTCAGCTTGTATGCTTTATGCTGGTGGTGAAGATGAAACCGAAGCAACTTTAAGACTTGATCCCGATATTAATTTGGTGCCAACGATTATCGAGAAAATTGTATTACCCAAAATGACAGGTAAGCATGCATCAACAGCCGATTGGTTCTACGGTACCAGAATTGGCGCAGATTTTGTGTGAATCAATGTTGCATCAATATGTATATATACATCAAACGTAAACATTAACAATTATATAAAAAGTATTATTGTATAATATCATTTAAATAATATGATTTTGAAATTAACTCGCAGATATTGTGAATCAATSCTGGGATCCATTATCAACAACGCAGACATTACGTTTAATTGGTTTTATAAACCGTTTGGCACGCGATTTTCCACTTAAGGATAGTTCAAAACAGTTGCAACAATTATTTGAAAAGATTTTAGAAAAAATGAAGCTAGCTTTGGAGAACGATGTCTTCATACCGATATTCCCTAAACAGTAAATATTAAGAGCCTCACATCCTAATGTAACCCAATTAACATTTATTTAAAATTTTCAGAGTACAAGAAGCAAAAACTTCGTTTTTCCAACGTCAATTTTGTAGCGGACTAAAACTGTTTCGAAATTTTCTTAGCTGGCAGGGTATTCTAGCAGACAAACCCTTGCGTGAAATGGCAATCGGTTTACTACTCAATCGCTATTTATTGCTTGCAATGCGGGTAAGTGTGACATGCTAAAAAATTGCATTTTTGTATTTTTTTTTTTTAATATATTTTGTACATTTATAGGTTTGCACAGCCAACGATGCAATAACTAAAGCCTACATTATAGTTAATACATTGCCAACAGTTTGGCTGCAACCGGAATCGGAGACATTGCAGAATTTACAGTTACTAATTACCTACATCAAACAGACTTTGGACGCATTCGATGCAAATAATCCACTTTTTATGTAAATATTTTTTAGAAAATCTTTGCAAAACCAAAATTTGAATTCAATATTATGCTTTCATTGCAGACAAACTAGTGATAAAGCAAAACAAATACTGCAACGGTTACATAGCTACTAATTCGCACACAATTTGCGTACTGAAACGAGTTTGCAACTGCAACAATTTCGCGTATTATTAAAATCAGCACAACGCTGCAGCTTAATTTGTAGGATACACACTATGTAAATATTTGTAGTTGACCTAGCTATATAATTATATAATATTATATTTAATTCATTAGCTGTAGGAAATTTTTCAAAACTCCAAATAAATTAAGCATTGTGAAATTCGAACTCGTCGTTCCATAACCAAATAAATAAACAACGATAACTAGTAGAATCTCGCAAATGACTTTATTGCAAATAAAGCATATGATAAAAACAGGGTTGCAAATAATATAAATAATGTATACAAAAATAATTGAATTAGCATTTGATTTAAATTTTTTTTATTTTATAACTCCGAAAATCTTAACTAAAAATAATCTTTACATTTTTACGCCCAAACACCGAATTGAAAAAAAATTTAATTTTAATCCAAATGTTTTTAATTAAAAAATTCGCAACCTTAGTTAAAATTGTTGCTTTATATAAAAACAGAAAATGCGAATACCGAACACTTAATTAGATTACTACTAATCATTCAGGTTTGGAAGTACCCGGCTTCTCATAGCAAGCCGCCAACTCCTTAATGGCATTTTGTAGACTTTGTAATTGCTCTTTTATGATTTTCGCTTCGTCGCTGTCTTCCTTCGCTTGCAACAATTTCAAAACAAGATCTGTGAAGAGAGAACGGTTAAGCATAGTGAATATATATGTACATAGAAAAGAAAGTGCTTGCTCCGGCTCACCATGGTATTGCATTAGTTGATCATTTTGCTCATTACTTAACTGGGGACGTATGAAAGCAAGTAATTGTGCGACGAATTTACCGGAAGCGTGTATAATACAACCCGTTATTGTTGTGAACAGTATTAAGGAAGCCAAGTGCAATACCAACGCAGGCTCTACAGTTTCGTGTAGTTGTTGCAGCAATTTCTCTTTGTGTTGAAGTATAAGTTGACGATCCTTTTTCTTATCGACCTTCTTAATTATCATGCTACATGTTTTTAATACGGCTTCAGTAGCCAAAACGAAGTCATCTATTGTTTTATTTAGTGCTTTGTTGATTTCCCATAAGGCTGCCTTGTATTCTGGATCTGTAGTGCGAAGGCAAATAAATAATTAGTACCATAAAAAAAAGTAAAAGTAGTACGAAATTCTGCACTGACCACACTCTTGTGCTATTTTGTTGCGCTGATCCACATTGAAATTAGTTATTTTCGTATTTAAATTGCATTCGCTGGCGATATAGGTGGTCAATTCATTACAAATGTCATTACCAAGCGATTTGAGCAAATATTTGACAATCTGCGGCTGTACATCGGCTGGTAGGAGCTGCACAAAAACGTCAATATTATTGAATGTTTCAATGAAATAAAACTTATATTTTCTGTACCTTTAAACCCTTCTCATATAAGCGCAGATCAACGAGCAGTGTATTTATGCGTTCTTGTATTGCTGCATGCGTTTGTCTGCGATTTGTTTGTGGTGTTGCTTCAAACAATTCTTGCGCTTTCGCCAATGCAACTTGATTTAATTGACTATGAATTAAAAATATATTATATTATTGAAAAAAAAATAATTACGCATTGCTCTAGAACGAACCTATGATGCAGTGCTGCTATAGTGTCTGCGAGATATTCCAATCCCTCCTCCTCCAAAGGCTTGTTAATAATATTTACAATTTCAACCAACTTCACCAATTCGAAAGACTTTGCACCTTTTTTGCTTGCACCACTGCGTAATTCTTGCTCATCATCGCTATCGCCTGCATTTCCACGTCCACCGCGTTGATGCTTTTTTGTCGATTTAGTTTTAGTTTCACGGCCTTGACTACCTCCACCAGCTTTTCCTGAGGCTGCCTTTTTGCGTCGCTCCTCTCGCTTGTCTATTTTGGAATCATCCTCATACTCCTGTGTAGCCGCTGATTTGCCTGATAGCTGTTTTTCAGCTAGATATTGTTGATAAATCCCGCTGTCAACTGCAGTTTTGGCATTTGCATGCGCTATTTCGTGACAGGGTTGTATAAGATCATTTAAATATTGCTGCGAGAATACTGTCAGCAGTAACGAAAAAGATTCATTAGTAATATATATTATTATAAATAGTTACAATATTGTGCTTACCGATACTTTGAAGGAAAACAAAATTGCTAGACGTGGCACCTTTCCTTGCCATTATCGTATCAAATATCTCTCCTATATCTTCTTCTGACATGTTAGATGGTAATATGGTGGCCAAGTCAACGTAACTTTTAGTAGCACTACATTCATTTAATGAACTTAGAACAGTGAGATCGATTATTTTAGAGCCAATTGCACAACGTTTCAAGTAAATAATGTCCTCATTGGGTAATTGTTTCCGTATAAACTGTTTCGRATCAGAAACACCCAATTTAGCAACACTCTCATACTCCAGAAAACCGTTTTGCTTATAAAATGAATTTACCCAGTCTGCCTAAAAGATAACAATGTTCAAATTCGTTTATAACAATAATGTGGCTCAAATGTTATTTAGTTTTATATTAATTGATTTTCATTTTACTATTTACTTACTTGCATTTTTGTGTAGATATTTGGAATATATTGTGCATTTGTTTGTTTTGATGTCACATGACCGGCAGGTGCAATCTCATCAAATAGAGAATGAAAAATTTTTTCTTGAACATTGATTTGTTGCAAAATGGTTGCTACGTTGGTTGGACGAGTAATAGCTTTGAGAGCGCCACGTATTTTAGCTTTGCAACGTTGAATATACGCTTGGGTGAAAAAGACACGGGGATTGGATGCATCTTGCCGACCCCGTATGATCTTGCCCAAATGTTTTTCCATAACATCATGCTGCAGAAAATCCGAAGGCAAGTCAAATTGCTGTGTCAGGTCCGAAACAGTTATTTCGCCTTTCTGTGCGAGGCGTTCGTTGGCTTCCTCTGCGATATGTGTGATGTATTGCTCATTGATTAACTGACCCAACATAAAATGTATCTCAGGATCGTTTTCAGCAATCCGACCAGCAATTTCTTCTATCTACAGATATGAAAATGAGATCAGAAGTATAACAATATTGTTATAAAAATTTCAAATGCTTTCAACTAACTCGTGATAAATCAACATTAAGCGTTTTGCTGACTTCGACTAGATTAATACGTCCCCCGTTCACAAATAGTTCGTCCTGCACTTCGCGTTCCAATTGATCTGGTGTAATATACTCTTTGCCATCGTTGGTGAAAAAAGCTTGTAACAAATTTTTTTCCAACAATAAAGTAACTATTTCTATGCAATTACGTTCGGAAAGCCTATAAATATTTGTGTGTGAAATTGCATTTATTTATAGTTATTTTATAAGCAAATACCGTTGCAATGTCGATGTTAATTGGGCTTTCTGAAAATCAGCAGCCAGACGTTTTATTTCATCCCAATCAGCGCTCATTTCGAATATTTTATATTTTAATAATAATAATCCTTAATATTTCGTGCAAAACAAGTTTTATCTGCCACAACTATAGACACTTTAAAGAAATAGCAAAATAAACACGTCGTCAATTATATTCATTGTGAACTTTTCTCAGTTGGAAGAAGCGATATGTGTCAAAATATGCTAATTGCCATGGGTAATTAAGTGCGTGACTGGTAGATCATTGTGCAGTTGTTCGAAGCCCGTTAGGGCTCTCACTCATATATATATGTATTTTATATAAAAGRAGCCGGTTACAAATGGCCATATACAGCCAAATAGCCAATAGAATGAAACCTTGATTTTTATAATATTACAGCAATAATATTGTTACGTCCGACTAATATTGAGTAAATAATTTATTGGCATTTTGTATACATATTACACACATTTACCAAAAATTTTTATAAATTGGAGTAGTAAATTATATACTATTTATTATCATTGTGTATAAATATTTTATATTTCAGTGGAATTGTACTTATGAGGCCTTTACTGTAAATCCTATAATGACAAGTTATCCATTGTGATTTACCGCATCAACAGAGAAGAAGCATTTTTCAATAAATCAAATTTTCGAAGGTAAACAAAAGTCGTATTCGTTATTTCAACCATTTTTAAAATATAGTTTATTTTATCAAATTGTTCGGAATAAAGCGAATAAACGCTTGGAATACAAATGTATTAACAGTGCACATACAAAATTATGTCAATAGCAAAATTATTTGTAAAAGTTTTCGGTGAGGATATTTTCGAACAGATTAGTACGGTTGAGAAACAACAGCCAGAGGATGATGACGATGAGGCTGGTTGCTCAGCTTCTCAAGATACTCCAAAGCCACCTAAATTAGATGATATGAAACTGCCTGAGTAAGTTTAAAAGTATTGCACATGAATGCCTTTTGCCGCCGGGTAAACTGATGGTCACATTAATTCAAGGCAATTCGGTAGCGAAGGTCTGATTTCTACTTCAATACTATAAAAAACGTTATTTTACTGTAGGCAAATGGTCCTTGTAAGGAATTGGCTAAACGAACGTCTCAATGTCATAGAATTAAATAGTGTACATGCTATAAAAACGCAGCGCGTGGACATGGTCTCAAGGCTTGGTCCAGAACAGACAATTTGTGATATTGATTTTACATCGACAGTGCGGATATCAGCCGATAGGCTATCGCTTCGTTCACAGGGTAGTTTCAATACTATTAAAGCAAATGTTTGCGTTTATGGTGGGCGCTGGATGTATGAGGTAAGCAAACTAATATATGTTGGAACGGGCTTATGGGGTATTCAATGAAACACGAAATTCGAGGCCTCAATACCGGAATGAGGTGGGTGGTGGGAGAAGTTAATCGGACAATAGCGAAGGGTAATGACCTTGAGTTGAACGTATTACTAAGTAGGTTAAAAACCACAGGACATTTTGGCGGCTATTTCACTTTTAGTAAATTACAAGTTATGGCATTAGATGATGATGATGATATTTTTTTATTAATGATAATATTTTAGTTCGATATTTACAAATTTCATGTTAAAATTATATTTATGTAAAATACCTATAGGTTCTTCTTCATAGTAAAGGTGTAATGCAAATCGGTTGGTGTTCCAACAAATGCACTTTTAATGAAAACAGCGGCGTTGGCGATACGAAATGGAGCTATGGCTATGATGGTAGCAAGCAACAGATATGGCATATTTCAACATCAAAGTAAGTATGTGTGTCTATATACATATGTATGTTTGAAGCATGGGATGCGTAATTTAAAATATAAATATGAATTTCCTCATAATTTTTTTTAAATTAATAAAATTTATTTTCTGCTTTCTAGATATGGCGATAAATGGCAAATTGGCGATATAATTGGTGTCATCATCGATGTTGAAAATGAAAAAATTGAATATTTTCGCAATGGCCATACAATGGGTGTTGCTTTCACCAAACTAGAACGTGGTCCTGGTATATCATTTTTTCCTGCCGTTTCACTTGGTTATAATCAAGGTGTACAAGTAAATTTCGGCAATATGCCCTTTAAATATCCTGTTGAAGGTTTTTTGCCAATACAACCGAAGCCAATTGTACGCCTACAAAAAGCTGATCTCCTGATTGGTTATTTAGTAAATTTGTCGTCTGTGTTAGCACACAATCCGACCTGTAAGAAAAAGGATCACATTGAAGGTAAAATATCCACTAAGAAAACAGTATATGTTGTGTTTACAACACTGCTGATTGAGAAGCTTACACATGTGCTGTTCGATCCATACGTCATCGAGGACAAATTGCTGCCCCATATTATAAATTTGTGCACGACTATAAAGTAGGTTAACACTTACTTATATATATAGCAAAATGTCTTTAATTAATTAATAATGTTGGTTTGTAGTGCAACCGATAAGGATCCGGCTATAATACCGGGCACACCTGAAAGCACATTGGGTGCGCTGCTATCTATATTGTGGAATTATTTGGAAAATGAGGAAGTGAAATATGTTATGCGTAAATTGGCGAATGCACTGTTGTCTACATATACACACACACATACCGCGCTGGATTATGGAAAGCAAAAGCATGCCATCACTATACTCACATGCATATGTACGCATACACAAACCAGAAAAACATATCTGGAGTACAAATTTTTCAAAAAACATTGGTAATCAATTTTATTTAAACGATACTTATTACATAATGCTCTAACATAGCTACTTTCTAGTTTGGCTTTACTAATGTATATACGCCCACCTGAATATAAATATATGCAGCAACTAGTGCCCGATCCGATTGTTTGGACAGAGGGTTTGTCTGCTGTAAAACGCACCTAATCGAATGTTATTTCATATCATTTCTTCACTTAACAGGTGTTGGCGGTCCGAAGCAAAAATATCTGGCGCAAGTTGAGAAAATAGCTAAAGCCACCGAAAGCCTTTATAATGCGCAGAAAAATCTCCTAATACTATTACTCACTAACACGGACGGTGACGAGTTGGCGCCGTCAAGTCGAAAAATATTTATATCCAAATTGCGTCGTTACGTTATGGACCTTAGTATGGAGCAGCGAGTAAAGAAACAAAAGATCATATTATTTTGCCTGTAAATTGCAATACCATATCATTTTGTCCTACAGCCTTTCCATTCGTTCTTCCTTATGCAATCTAGCATAATGCATCCGATGGATTCCACAGTGGCGTTATCATTTATTTGCATACTCATCGATGCAACAAAGTTGTTGTTTGAGCGTGAATTGCCTGCCGCAACAGTTGAGGTCAGACCAGAGTACTTTTTCGATGGTACATTTGAGTATCAGCATTTCGATCGTGTGGGTGGTGTGCTGTCGCATTTACGTAAGGTGCATCGCAATGACATATCGACACATTTGGGTGCTGAACGCGCCCATGAGCTATTGGAAGAGGATCGTACCATGATGCGTGTAGGCGAGCTAGGTGATTTATAATATACAAAATATTTATGTACATATGCTTTAAATTTTTCTCTTATTTCAGTTGATCCAAGTATGTTTCTTACAACGACAAATCTTAACAATATCGCAATAGTAGGCGCGCAGGGCGGGTAAATATATTTACGTTACTAATTTTTATATCATTAATTGGGTATATTAAGTTTGTTACGAAGTTTGTAGTTGTAAGAGATGGTCTGAAACCCTATAAAATAAAAAAATAAATATATAAATAAGTAAGCGGCTCAACGCGCTGAGTCGTTTGAGCCACGTCTGTCTGTATATAAGCGAAATAGTCTCAGATTTTTGAGATATCAATCTGAAATTTGGCACACGTATTTTTTTCCACAGAAGCAGCTCATTTGTGAGAATTGCCGATATTCGACAAATATAACAAAGGGCTGTCATACAAATTCAACGCTCAAAATAAAGTTCTTGTATGAAAAAGTTGTTTATTTCATCAGATAAATTCACGAAATTTGGCACGCATTAGTTTTCAAATCAGCGCTACAATCTCTGAATATATTGTTTTGATCGGAACTCTATAACACATAGCTGTCATACAAACTGACCTTTCAAAATTAAGTTATTGTATGGAAAACTTTTTTATTCGACAAGATATCTTCCTGTAATTTGGCGTGCGTTATTATCCAATGTAACACTAGAATCGCCGTATCTATTGTTCTGATCGGAATCCTGTAGCATATAGCTGTCATACAAACTGACCGATCAAAATTGCGTTCTTGTATGGAAATTTTTTTCGTTTTTGAAGAGTTTCATAGTTTCGGTGCAACCGAACTTAACGTTTTTTCTTGCTTCGCTGATTTTCAGTCCTGCTGCCACCTTTACACATTTCTTCAATCCGCGTTTGAATCCTGTGCCCGATCCATCGCCTGGTAATAGCAATACGGAGAGTTCGCTCTCGGAAATGTTCGATATCTGCGTACTCTACTACTATTCGGTCGGACACAAGTATATTGTTAAGGTGCGTTTTTTGTATTTGAAAATTCTGAGTTTTTGCAAATTATTTTAATTATCTAAATTTGCTTGCTTATGCAGATATCATCGGTGCGTGATGAAATTGCGGCATTAAATGAGGTACTGCGCGAAACCAAATTCTATCGTGAGGATGTTGAGCGCAAATTGAAAGTGTTGGAAGATCATGCTAGTGTTTGTATGAATGAAAATCATTCCAGTATAGTTTCAGATCTAAAGCAGAAATTTAGTCAGCGTGAAAATGTGTTCGCGGTGAGTTGAATTCTGTACAAAACTAAAATTAAATTAAATTTCAACAATATTTGACTGCTTTGTAGAAACGTTCCATTGAATTGGCGCGCAAGCAGACTTGGTATCGTGCGGTAGCGCTGGGCAAACAACGCCGCATGACCATTGTGTGGTTACTGGAAAAAACGCTGCATACATTAAATGTAAGCTGGTGGGAAATAAAAAATTTTTGGTAAAGAAAATAATTTCGTTTCTGTTGTACTTCTACTTAAAGGCCTCCTCACAACTTGGTCCCTTGTTCTCATTTGTACCTGAAGTGTATGTCAATATACTGCCAATTTTATTAGATACTGTAATGGATTTTAGTCATCATGATCTCTATGTTCAGTTTGAGATAACTGGTATTGTGAAAC